AAAAGTACCCCCCAAAGCAGCAGACATACCCCAGAAACAACAAAACCATCACAGACAAAAACCCAAAGCACTCCAAAACCAACAAAACCGCTCCAAAAATTTCCAAAACCAACAGAAACACCACAATCCATCAAAAAAAACAAGAAATCCACCCCAAAAGTCCCCCAAACCTCAAAATCCACCCCAAAAACCTCAAAATCCACCAAAAACCTCCCCAAAAACCTCAAAATCCACCCAAGAAACACCAAAAGCCAACAAAAAAAACCAAGAAATCCACCCCTAAAGTCCCCCAAACCTTAAAATCCACCCCAGAAACACCAAAATCCATCAAAAAACCCAAGAAATCCACCCCAGAAGTCCCCCAAACCGTAAAATCCACCCCAAAAACCCAAGAAATCCACCAAAAACCTCCCCAAAACCCTCAAAATCCACCCCAGAACCACCAAAATCCAGCAAAAGCCCAAAAAAATCCACCCCAAAAGTCCCCAAAAGTGCCCCAAACCTTAAAATCCACTCCAAAAAACGCAAAATCCACCAAAACCCAAGAAATCCACCCCAAAAGTCCCCCAAACCTTAAAATCCACTCCAAAAAACGCAAAAGCCACCAAAACCCAAGAAATCCACCCCAAAAGTCCCCCAAACCTTAAAATCCACTCCAAAAAACGCAAAAGCCACCAAAACCCAAGAAATCCACCCCAAAAGTTTCCCAAACCTTTAATCCACCCCAAAACCCCAAAATCCATCAAAAAGCTCCCCAAAAACCCCGAAATCCACCCCAGAAACGCTAAAATCCATCACAAAACCCAAGAAATCCACCCCAAAAGTTTCCCAAACCTTTAATCCACCCCAAAACCCCAAAATCCATCAAAAAGCTCCCCAAAAACCCCGAAATCCACCCCAGAAACGCCAAAATCCATCACAAAACCCAAGAAATCCACCCCAAAAGTCCCCCAAACCTTAAAATCCACCCCAAAAACCCCAAAATCCACCCCAGAAACACCAAAATCCAACAAACCCCCCCAAATCCATAAAAATACCACCAAAATCCACCCCAAATCCCCCAAACCTGAAAATCCACCCCGAAACCCTCTAAAATCATCCCAAAAACCCCTAAAACCACTGCAACCCCCCAATCCACCCCAAACCCCCCCAAAATGACACCAGAAACCTCAAAATCCCACAAAAACTCCCAAAATCCACCAAAATTCCCCAAAATCCGCCCTAAACCCCCCAAAACACCTCAAATACCTCAAAAATCATCCCCAATAAAGCCCCAAACCAGCCCCAAAGTCCCCAAAAGCTGAAAATCCACCCCAAAAAACACCCAAAACCTCAAAAATCATCCCCAAAACCAGCCCAGAAACACAAAACTCCACCCCAAACCCCACAAAATCAGCCCCAAAGCCTCAAAACCCAGCGCAGAAACCCCCAAATCCACCCCAAAACCCCCAAATCCACCCCAAAACCCCCAAATCCACCCCAAAAACCCCAACACCCACACGAAAAAGTCCAAGAACCAACCTCAAATCTCCCAAATCCACCCCCAAACCCCCAATATCCACCAAAAGCCACCCCAAAACCCCACCAAACCCACCCCAAAAAAACCCTAACCTGCAAAACCTGCCCCCCAAAAATCCCCAAACCTGAAAATCCCCCCCAAAACCCAAAAACCATCCCCAAAACCTCACAATCTCCGCTAAAAACCCTCAAAATCTCCCCCAAATCCACCCCAAAAAACCCCAAAATCACCCCCAAAATCCCCAAACCCACC